ACCTCACACTGCCATTTCATGATGCGTGTTTACTAAAGGGTTTCATCTATCATAAGGCAGCCAGCAGGTGGCTGGGAAAACTACACAGAAACGTTTCTGGCACTCTTGGGTGGATTAATTTTTTTGCACTCTAAATTAATTATGACTGATTCACACCCTCGAGTGAATCCCTACATCTCCGGCTTGATCCCCACAATCTGTCAATGGGACAGGAGCTCATTCCAACTTGACTGTCTCCAGCTTTCTTCTCGTGTACTTGGCTCTGTGGGCTGATCAGTTGTTAGGGAAGATGTAAAAATCCCCATAAATGGCAGTCATCTAATTTCCCCCCAACTGTATTCAGCACCTAAGATATTAGTAAGTACAAGAAATCAAAGTACCCAGCAATAATGGTTACACCTGCCATGTTTTTTTGTTTTTTTCCTGAAACGCGTAAGGAATCCAAAGGGCCATTGCCTCCACTTTTGATAAATCCTACTAAGTAAACTCAAATACATTCTTTCCAAGGATGATACCCAACCACAGCTCTGACTCATGAGCTGCTGATTCAAGGTGAAGTTTGCTAATGTTTTTTTCCATGCTTTGTAAGAGATATCATCTCAGTAAATGTGCATCTTTGTTTTGCACAGGCTAAATAAAATGTGCCCAAGGGCAGCTGCATTTCGGGAGCACCAGTTTTTGTATTTTCAGCCTGGAAATTTCAACCAATTTTGTTCCTTTCCTAAATGTGGAGTTACTGTCAATAATGTTTCCATTTCATGTCAGTTGTCGAGAGACGCTACTCTTGACAGTGTCATTCATGGTCCTGTCCTTCACAAAAAAGATTTTTTCACAAGTCTGGCCACAGCAAAAACAGAATTTGAAATGCTGAGTAATAAAGATTAAAAGCAAAGTACGTTTCTACAGTAATATCGCAATTAGGGATGCACCGAATGTTCGGCCACCGAAATAAATAGCCGAAAATAGCAAAAAAAGCAGCAAGTCAAAAGAACGAATAAATTTCGTTTAAAGACACTGTTCTGCTGAATTGTCTCCTAGCACATCCACAACATCTGTGGCTGACTTCTTAGAAAAGGCAAAAAATGGATTGTATTGGATTCATTTGATTGTATTCACAGAAGGTATAAAACATTTTACATGTGTCCATTAAAAGTAAATGGACACATGTAATTTTCTTTACTAGACCCTCCTCGGGCCTTGGACCCACACACCATAGTCTCTCCAAATCCTGTGGGAAACACTGAGTCAAAAGCACATTTTGACTATTTAATTTATGCAATGGCAAAAGGAAAAAAGGCAAAACAAATGGAAAAAATGTGAAAAACCTTGCAGAATACTGAACAAGGTTTTTCAATTCAATAATGAGGCTGATAGCGCTGGGTAGCTACTACATCATCAAACAAACAAACAGACCAACCAATCAAGGGTATCATTTTGTATTTTATGAGCGAAAGTTTTTTTCTTATTACAATTTAACAAAATACTAAATGCATTCTGTGAAATGTACATAATTTAACATTCTTATTTAAATTGTAATCCCCTAAGATTTTAGTCCTGGTTGAGTTAGTGATGTGTGGTTACTAGTGGTAACAGTGAAAGTGCAGTTTAACACTACAGCAAATACTCATTGAGCAGAAGAACAAGTGGTGTATCTGTTTACAGTGCAACTATGCATTTCCTGTTAGTGCTTCACAATAAAAGCCACCCGATATTTTACCAATTCAGTGCTTTCAATATGAAACAGTGTCAGTAAATTAATTAAACTCAGATACCATTTTAGGAGAGTGCAGGTAAACAGTGAGGCTGTCATCAATGAGATGACATTAAAAACAGAAATGTTCAGTAATCACATTTCCTGTGGATCCCATGTGAAGGCAATTTGAATCTATTGCAGGAGTGGTGGACTCCACCACTAACAATGAAAATTAATAAATAGAGAGGTAATTACAGAATGTAAATACACTGCATGGCTACTGTTAACATAAACAGTATTAAAAACTGGACTAATTTAAATCTTAAAGATTATAATGTACAATGCGCTGTTTGGTTCAATGTAACTATAACTAAACTACATAACTGTATATGGGTTTTTGCTTGTTCAAACAACTTTGCATCCAATCCAGACATTTAGCACTTGCTGTAGAAGAAATTAAATGTTTTCCTTTTCTTTTGTTTTGCCTCTGTGGCAATTTTCATGACCTTACCATTCTTTGCTACTGAGGAAAAAGAGCTCATTCTTTCTTTTATAAAACAGCCGAGTGTCACATGGGACACTTGAGACTGAGGTGGTGCAACAGCTCTTGTAAAATGGCACACACACAGCACAGGAAGTTGCTGTTTGAATTTTACGGTTGTGGAGAGCTGTGGAAGTGAAATATGCCATGCTGTTGTACCATATGTTTCACAGCTCTGTCTACAAACCCTGACTGGTCCCTTTGATTACACTTTACACATTGTTAACCATATAACCAGCGCATCGCTGCTTGAACATGCAGCCGGCCAAGCCTCGGTAACTTTTCTACAACATGAGGTAAGTGTGAAAAGGAAAACATATTTGCATTGCGTTTGTATTGTTTTTGTCTTTTTCTACGGATGCTTTCAATGTCCAGTAAAAATGTGCATCTTTATCATCGCAATGGGAGGCACCACTAGCCCTCAACACACCCACATAAAAACACCAAATATCATCATCAGTGCTATATACACTATCAGGATTAGCAATAATGTATAATAAAAAATATTATATGCCTTTTATGTTCCTTATAATTCACAAGCAACAGAAATCATGGGGAGTGATAAAGGGGAGTGACATCTGGTGGCATCAAATCCCCATCTTTGACTCAAACTGGTGGTGCCACAGTTACATGCAGGATGTGTTTAGATTTAAGGTTTCCATATGGGCTTGAAACTGTAATAGGGATATTTCCGCCCCCTCCTTTTGTACACCCCTCTCCATAGTGCTCCATAAATATTTGTGTAAACTCACAGTACAAAATGCCTCTAAAATCTTTCTCAATTGACAAAAATGGGTTTATATCAGACTAACTTGTTAACAAAGAGGGTTTTTTTTTATCCTTCAATTCAAGTTGTCCACAGCATAGACCTGTGGAAAACTGTAATGTGCGCTGCCATTTCCATTTAGAAAGGTTGGTCGCATTTCCAAAATCGCTGTCCCCCTAGGATATCTGTCTCTCTCAAACAGCAATTTATCGAACAGGGCAGCCTCGTCTTTTCCACTCCTTACCGTCATGAGAAGCTGTAATTCTCTCTCAGTATCCTCAGCACGATCTCCCTCTCTCTCCTCCACAATGAACCAAGCTAAGGCAACTTGCATACAAAATAGCTGACTCAATCATCCAGCTGCATAATCAAGATAAGGGAGACGGGGACAGGAAAAGGGAGATGTGAAGGCTAATGCGAGAGGCAGCTTTAGCAACAGCAGCAAAACTAAGATGTTTTGAAATAGTCATAACTCTAGACATTAAAAGTTGGAAGAAGTTAGATAGTGATTCACACTGATGGTAAAGGCTAAGCCGAGGCTGAACTTCTGTATGAAATGACTGGAACGAGGGCAACCACTGAAAATTAATACAAAGCCTGCAGTTCAGTGGCATAAAACCTTACCTTAAATGCTTTCCTGGCTTTAAATGTCACCAGGACAGTAACACATTATTCAACCAGAACAGAGATGATACAGCACTCCTACACCTACGCCCATAGTGCAGCAGAGTGGAAATCCAGAGAATTGTTCTTATAGTCTTGTCATTTCTTTGGCCGTTGAATGACCGCAAGTGTAGGTTATATTAAACCTGGCATGGTTTCAGCATTTTCTTAACCCCTATGCTTCAGACAACTGACCCCCACACGCACCCTCCTCCTCTTGGGAACTCCGGGAGTCTTAATTTGTGTTTAGAGCTGGCAAAACATCTTTAGAAATTAGGGCTATATTGACTAAAAAAACGAAATCAATCCATATGAATCCTTGTGCTATTCAAATGAATCAACACGACCATCCAGGGAAATGCATAATGCACCCCTGACCGATGGCACGGACAGCAAAATCCTCAGCTAATCTGAGCAAGACTGCACAGGGCTAAGTACAAGACTGTATAATGACAACATAATAGGTGCACTGATCATTATAATTTGCGTTTTAAATGTTCAGAATCGAACCGGTTGTCATGACTTAATGCAGGTTTTCATATGATATAAATCCCTGTGAGCTTTGTGTGCAGCTTCATGGAACAAGTGACTCTGGTGTAGGCTAAGTAGGCCTAATGCTGTGACAGGAAAGCTTTGTATTTATTTAATTTTAAATAAGAATCAGACAAAGTAAACGATAACAGAATAGAATCGGTTTCTTTGTGTGAATCTGAAATAAAGTTGAGCCTTTACTGGGTAAGTAAAGCGGCCGGGCAGCTGTCCGTGGTGCTGAAGCGACTCCTCAAGCGGGCGGTGTTGGAGGTTTACAGTTGCAAAGTACCTACTACTTTCACTGGAGCTGTATTAGGTAGAGGTTTTGCAGAGCAATTGCAAATCTATTCATCAAATGCGTCACTATTTAAGTAAAATAATATTCCGATTGATAAAACTTAAAAAAATAAACTTACAAGACAATTTGCAACATAGGCTACAAGAATCGCTGCAGAGGCGAAAAAAGTGCCTCCGTATCCTGTTCACAGAACATGTAAGCTTGCAAAGGTCGCAGAAATGAACGTAAAATGTGCCGGCTTCGTCACAAGTTCAGCTGTGCATTTTGCAAGGTGTGTATGCACTTAGTAATGACAGAGTTAGCTACTGTTTTTGCATATAACAGCCGAACAATACAATTCAGATATTAACCAACCATTAACCAGCACGCTCTAAAGCATTCAATTCCAGCCTTGAATATTAACCGCTATTCCCATGTACATTCAAAGGACATAAAGTGCGGTAGGCTATGTTTTCTGTAAACTCTGCGATACTGAAGTGTAAAATCTAGTGACACTGTAACAGCTTACCTACTTGACGATTCCGGAGCAGGAGCCTCTTCTCGATACGAAGCTGGTCGCTTACTGTATGTCACCACGAACACGAGACATTTTCAAAGATACACGAGATATTTCTTTTTGATAATAATAATAATTAATAATTAAAAAAGAATCCAGTTTTATGTTGTCGGGGTGAAGACGCTCAAAGCAGCGGCTCGACTGCGTCAAGGGAGAGTCTGAAAGATCCGGTTAGCGGTGAGTGATTTAATTCAGGGCTGAGCTCCTCTCGCCGCTCGCCTTTATGTATGCTGAACAGACCCGTAGCCCTGCTTTGGCTTTTCTATTACACTGAGAGCTGACACCGGCGTTTAACCACAATCAAAGGAGGCGGGTAGTAGGCTAGCCTACTGTATCAGTTGGGAAACTGCGGGGAATAAGTGCGAGAGGAGCGCGTGTTGATCCTCCTGTCTATAGCCGAGGCAAAGTTTAAATCTCATAATAAGATTGTTTGTCACCGCGAGGCTATAAATGGTGGCGGGTTCATCACGGATGCCGGGAGGGTTAGGCTATGGCAAATTCTCCAGCTGAAAGGAAAACGCATGATAAGCCGTGTATTATAAAAAGTGAATAGTTTTTAAGTTAATGAAGACAGTGGGGGTGAAAAGTATCAGCTTCGTCACGTGAGCTGTAATGCTTGGGCAGCCTATGAGCAAACTTTTCCTCCTTTTTTCTCAGAGTATGGTGCTGCACCACCGCGCTGGTAATGGTTTTGAATTACTCAATTTCACAGTCTGGTTTGGGCCATTTTTAATTTGGTATTGCATGAAAGGAGATCATTCCCCCCACACACCAAAGTCCATTGGTCCTACCAGCAGGGGGACCTTTTTTTATAATTAAAAGAAGTGTCCATTTAATACTATTAGGTGACTGCATTCCAAAAATCATTTAGCTAAAGGAGCTAGACTGTGCCTGAATATAGGGGGTCTTTCTATTTTATTCCATTTAATATGGACATAATGTTATGTTATATATGTACATCCTTATATATTCATAGGTTCTGCAGGTGCTTATTTGTATCATGGCAGAGCACACTAATGTAATGGAAACCATTAAGGTTTCCCCTTAGACAAGTAAAATCTGCCACATTGTGATTGCAGTGGTCTGGAAATGTCAGGGTTGAATAGAGGGGGAGCAGAGATAGGGAGGAGCCAGGGCAGCTGTTGAAGTGGACATTCTTCACTAAAGAGGTCAAACCTTGGTCCCTGTGATAGAAAATCAATATGTATCAATGATAAATTATCGAAGACAAGAACCTGCAGGATACAAATTCCCACCCATATGGACCTGCACCTAGGCAGTGTGATGTAGGGTGGTGCTTACAAGTAATAGGAGATGATATTAATTTTGTCAAATCCAGCTATACTTGTATGCTATTTGTGAATTCCCAAAAGATTCTTTACTCTAAATTCAAATTATGCAAAGGACAATACACAAATGTGATCAAAACATGGTCAGACGTGCCGTGGAAGTTATGGGAAACTTAATTGAATAGGGCCAGTGCAAAATGAGCAGAAAAAATTTAGAAACCAAAAGAAAAGATAACATGTCCTCGCTAAGATATAGCTGTGACAAAAATCTGATCTGTGCCTCAAGGGTTAAACCCACATTGTCTGTCCCTGTGTAAATGCAGTCCCAGATTTAATTTATGGAGAGTGCAGCCTGATGTCCTCTGTAATGACGTAGTCTGGGGGATGACCCGAGCAAGTCGGGAAACGGCAGCCAGGCTGCAGATGCTCTTCTTTGAGAGAGAGCAAGTGGTTGTGTGAGGACTTGGCACAGATGTTGCAATGTCTTGTCTCATTGCAGCAGTCACGTTGAAGCTGTGAAATGTGGATATGGACAGCCCAGCCCAGGAAGTCACAGCAGTGCAGCTGCGGCACGGGGAATGACACATATGTATCATGGTCCCTAATATATTCACGACCCCAGGGCGAGTCCTGATACGTGATCTGATACAGACACTGTAGCCTTTGAGCCCAGTGCTGCCGATGCACACCACCCTGAATTTAAAAAATAAAAATTTAAAAATATCAGGACCCACAGCTGGCAGGACACAGCAGAACAGGGCACACATAAAATGTCTCATTCTTCTTTTGAGCAGGTAAAGCTACATGAATTCTGAAAAATTTAAGTATTTCTGCTTCAATTCTGAAGTCACCTTAGTTTAAGCTTCTGAAATGTTTTGTTTATTTTTCATTCAGATGCAACATGAGGACTCTGTACCTTTCAGAGTGCAACAGATGGAGCGGGCTTGATGGGCTTTCATAATGAAAATTCCTAGCTGAATTTACCGTTCTGGGCATGGTCGCTTTAATGTCGTCCAGGTATGAGCTTTGATTCCCAATGGATAGGACTGTCATTGTTAATAATATACTAATGATTTAATGGACACTAGAGGGAAAGTATATATAAGGAAATATATTTCTTATGAGAAATCCCTGTCTCCCTGTCTGTTCACCTGAGAAGCGTCAAGTGACTATGTTGCGATTTTAAGATATATACACATTTCTCATACATATGTGTTACATACACATTGTGCTATAAAAGTATCTAAACTATCTCACAATTGACTTAAATTATAAATTCCAGAAAGTATGGCTAAGTAGCAAAGGAGACCAACAACACCACTGGTCCAAGAAATTTCAATCAAGTTAAAAGCATGTACTTATAACTGAAATGTAGATTTTCCTATAATTACCCCTAATCCAGAATTATAAAAGATAAAAATGAAAGCAATACTGCTTTCGATATCATGCATGTTTGACTTGTTTTGTATTGAAGAGGATGGTAATGCTTCATGTAAATTGTGAGCAACTGCTGCAGATGAAAAGATTATGATGTCACTAAATGAAGTCCAGGCAGTCTGGGTGGAGAAGAAAAGGTGGCAGATAGGTGGAATGTATTATTCAAATCCTTCATTTACTGGCTAAGCCAATTTGGTGCTGAGGCAAGTAACAGGGCTGGCAATAATTCAGGGGAGTAGACGGTGACTGCTGGTTGATATAATGGAATTCCTACCGTCAGTGAAGTGCAGGAGATCCATCTTACTGGCTAAGCAGTGGGACCCACATCTACAGCTGCTTCACCTATGATGTTAGGTGGGAGTGGTAGGAAGCGGCACTCAAAGGTGCTTGTTGAAGCTCAGCTTACATAGAGCAGTCCTCACAGCAACATACAAACACAGCAAAGAGATGGCGTGTTGCAGTGTGAAATGAATGCAGATGACATGGCATTAATGTTTTTCTGCTGTTGTTCAAGTCTTCCCTGTCAACCTGCTGCCCCTCAAATAAATGTAAATTTAGTAGTCAGCCGATCCTGATAACACAAACTCTACAATTATAATAAACATAAATAAACAAACACTTCTCACTAATTTTTAACAGCAATGGCAGATCATGGAGGTCTCTACATGGGTTTTTCCCCTCTTCAGCTCTGGTAAACCAATCATTTCTGGTTGACATATAAAACTTATCACTACCGGTGTGCCATCGCGGGAATACAAGATTTAAAAAAAAGACATCTTCCTGCTCGTGATAGGCTTAATTAGCATCAGTTCGTTTGGCAAGGACTTGAATGTAACAGACTTTCATTTATATATAAAAGTCCCGCACTCAGAGTTTAAAGGAGTAAAAGTAGTCAAGACAGAAAAATGTTCCCTGTGAATGCATATAGTACTGTATCTAGTGATATGCTATAAACAGTATATTATAATAGAGAGGTATATCATTGCATTGTTATTACTTATGCATGAATGTTTAAGCAATCTTTTAATTGTTTGAGGTGGAGATATGTTTTGACTTATATATATGGCTGCAACAAATGACAAATATAGATTAATCTGCTATTCATTTTCTTGACCAATACATTTATTGTTCGATTTGTAAAACAGATGTTAATAGTGAGAAATTCCCATCACAATTACGCAGCAGTATATGGAAATGTTTTCAGATGTTTGTCCAACCAACAGTCCAAACCTTACCGTGATTCACTTAAAGCTGATTAATTTGAAAATTGACTAATCAACTAATCACCTCTTAGATGTAGTCTAGTAGAAGTATAAAGTAGCATAAAAAGGAAACACTGAAGTAAAGTATCTCAAAATTGTACTTTAGTAAATACTTGAGTAAATACTCTACCACCACTTCTGGTTACTAGCTGTCAGATGAATGTATTGAAGTAAAAAGTGCAGCATTTCCTTCTGAAATGTAGTAAAGTAGAAAATGTCATGTAATGGAAATACTGAAATAAAATACAGATCCATGAGATATGCACTCAAGTAACTTGAGTACATATACTTAGTTACAATCCACCATTGATTATTAGCACAGCAATATACAATGTCACAAAGAAAAAAGTGAAAACCTTTGCATTTGCTGTCTATGGCTTCATCTGAAATGTTATTGAGCGGACAGTAACAAACGGTGACAGAGGGACACATCACAGCGATAAAAGGAAGGAAAAATATGTATACAGTCAGCAGTTTGACCTGCACTACACTGACCAAAGAATTGCAAAAAGCAATATAACTCTGAAGAATCATTTGCATAAACACTAGGTAGAGCACTGAGTGGGACTAGGTTACGACTCAGATCCCAAGCCATGAGCCTTTGTGGGAGTACCATTTGCATTCATTTAAATATTTAGTCACCACAGATGAACTGTTAATAATAATGTATCTAATATTTTCCGCTATGGGTCTCCAAAAAGTTTTAAATTGCATCTGTAAGGGACCTGCAGTCATCACTAAGTGAAGGATTGGTTTTCATTCTGCCTGGATACACAGAGCTGGGGTTGAGCTGGTTGAAACTTCTTTTGTTCTGCTAAAATATCAATCACCCGTCGACTAAGACAAGGAGACCATTTTGAGATTTTATCCTCTTATTAGTGGCTCTGCAGGGGAAGTGAAATGTCACTTAAGCCAAGGTATTACCCTCTGTGACGTACATTGTCTCTCTGCTTTGCCTTTGTCTACACTCATCATCCAACAGTCATGGTGTCAGACTTACCTCATAATTTCCCCATAAGCCAGAAAAAAAAATTAATGTGAGGGTCATGCTTAGTCTGTAATTTAGTGAAAAGTATGTCCCCTCTTTGTGCCCCTCCTCCTGTATGTTTCCTGTGAAGGTATCTGACAGCTTGGGTAGTGGGAGAGACCGACAGCTCACAGTGGAGAGCAGAGCGTGGGCAAACTCAGCCAACACTCAGCGAGGAGGGCTGAGGCCCCATGGTGGCTACCTCAGCGTGACCGGTGGGATAAACACACCACCTACACTAAAAGCCTTACAAAAGAGACACGGCTATTCCAACAGCTGTGACATGCGGCCTGCACCCTGTGACTCTAAAATGAACAAGGTTTATTTATGGTTTAGATGGAAGAAAGGCTAAAAAAC